TAGACATTGATGTGTTGAATGAGCAAAAAAAAATCAAAAAAAGAATTTTTATGCAGTGCCTCGTATACTCGATCCCCTGATGGCCTCTCTCTTAAAATTGAGTAAATATCTATTATTATTCTTACTGCCAAAATTCCACAAGCCAAGGATACGAAAACTGAGATATAGAGCAAGAAATATGGTCTGTACAATGACATCGGGTATATCTCGTTGTAAAGGTAAAATATTTTGCGACTAAAATAATAACAATTCTACTACGTAGATGTGATGATGATAATTGTACATGCGCTAAACTTACATAAAACTTTAGGTAAGCAACACGAGTATTTTCGAATGCAATCGATGCAGTCCACAACCAAACAAAACAATCAAGCCATAAATTTCCACATGATGGCCACATCACTGCTAATGTAAAAAATGATAAATAGACGAGATAAGCAACGAAATTCGTATAAAATTTTGTGATCGGTGCATTCCACAATGTTTTGATTTGTTCAATGGTATTCTTGGATTTATCATTGAGATTTGTTGATGCTGTACTTTTGTGTTGATTTCGACGAAAACAGGGCGTTAGTTGTCGAAAAAGACTGTTCTATATGTATATACAGACAAAGGAATAGTAGAATAGAAGACAATTATCAAGTGAACAGAACGTACTCCATTGCGCACTGAGACTTCATCTACGTATGTTTCCAATTTCTTTTCCTCTACGAATAAAAACAAAAGTAATAGATCAATCGTCTGGAGATAATAAAAATGAATCATCAATTATTGTCTCAATGTTGTCTGTAGACTTTGTTTTTACTTTGCAAATCGTTTGCTTTTTCCGATGTTTGTAGAGTTTGATCGATCGGAGAAAATGTAATCCAAAACAGCATCGGAAATATGAGATAAGCGCTGATAATAATCTATATATTTTATATAGAACAATAAAGAATTTGAACGTTTGAATGCATCGTTTCCTTCCACTTACTTTAAGATAATCAGGACATTTAAAAAGACCAAAGGAAAGTTCACGCAGAGTGATTTCATTGTAGAATCGTCGAGTAACTAATTTTTGATAAGCAGGATGTACCATAAATTCTTTATTTTCAGCTCTGTACGCTAATTCAAAAGTAGCCATATGATTCCAATCCTAGAATATTTCAAGAAAGAGAGTATCTCTACTAACTCACTCGTTCTTAGCATATGAATTTATTTTTTTACTGGATTTTTTTCATTGAGCATTGCAAGTGTGCGTTCCTGGTCTTCGTTAAAGGATTTTTCGAGTACACCCACAGCATAATCTGAAAATTCTCTACAAAAAATTGAGGATAATTATTGCCTGAAAAGAAAACAGAGAAATAAAAAATGAGCTTACTTGGCCTGTTTTTCGATTTGCAATCGTTGAGTGGAATCATGGCAATAGATTGCCAATTTTTTAAATATCATATAACAAATCAATGCCATGGGAATCGGTTCTAATGAACGTTTCCACAAAATCTTGGCCAATTGATGTCGATTCATGAGTACGGCATAGGTAATCAGATAATGAATAGCCTAATGAAAAAAAAACACCTTGTTCGATAGAAGGAAAAACTTGAAACTCACCTTTTTCTCTGCTTTTATTCGTTGTCGTTGAATGTCTTTGTCTGTTTTGTCACAAAAATAGATGCTCGAAGCATTACAATCCATTTCATATTGGCGAAAAAAGCCTTTAATACCAGTAAGCCGTTTCATAATAGGATTGAGACGACGTTCGACAAAATTTGCTGGTATTTCGTCTGTATCCTAGAAAACACAATAGATGGACATCAAAGTTTAGACATAACAGAAAAGTAAAATAATTATCATTTACTTCAGTAATGCCGAGAACGCCTTTGAATGATGTTGCTGTTAGAAATTCTCGATCTTTCGCTTCATGAAAAAGACTAAACAACTCGTCCGATGTTAAATATCGATGTAGAATAAATTCATTATCAAGAAAAATATCGACAAATGTTTCGAGGTTTTTTCCGAGAACAGCCTTAGCGAAAAGATAATGTGGTATAGAATACTTCGTAGCATTATCATGTTGAAAAACTTTTGATAGAGCCAAATCGGGCAAATTCCAGTCAAGTATTAAAGTAAGATTATGTCTCATTTGCGCATAAACTCTGGTTTTAATTACAACTTTTTGAGCTAAAAATATACAAACATAGTTGAAGTGTCAGTAAGAAATAGATTTTCAATTCTCACATTCTATAAGAGCGGATAAAATAAATTTGTGAAAATCCTTGAGTGTCGCTATCGTGCTTTTCACATCGACAAATGTCAAAAATTTTCGTCTTCCTTGATCGGCTTTTTTGACAATTGCAATGACATGATCACGGATTTCGTTTCGTTTTACATGATTATCTATCAATGCTGGATATTCGTCAAGTAAACGTTGAGTTAATTCAACTTTTAGATAACTATCCTCAAATTCTTTATCGCTTCTAAATGAAAAAGAAAAGAGATTCTGATTGAAATCTGGAAAAGCTAACTATGAATACTTGGCATAAATTTCTTCGTAGGCAAAAGCGATGATATCAGCAGCTGATCCGGTTCCTCTGAGAATAACCACAGGAATTTCTTCGTGAATTTTTTTATGCAAAAGTTTGATTGTTCCCAGTGTGCCTCGTACTAAAGTACAAACCATCGGAAAACCACCTTCATTCCATAGATTACTTTCATGAGCTGGGGACGATGATATTGCTGCTGCTTGATCTAAAAAATATATATACACAGAAACATATATAGATAGGTCGCGTTGGTATTCGCTTTGTACCTGTTGTCGGAGAAAACAGATTGGAAGATGCTGTCGCTTGTTGTTGCAATGCTTCTTGATGTAAACTATTTTCGAAACGTTCTCGAAATCTATTTGTAGCACTATCAGCTGAATCGGCTAATTTTTCGAATTGTCTTTCGCCGCTATCTGCAGCAGCCGAGTTTTGTCCAACATTCACTGAAGCACTACCAATTGCTTTTTCACGAATAATAATAAAATGTGTGTGATCACTATTCAGTGAAAGATTATCACCTTTTCGTGTTGGCACTTTCACTTCCTATCATTGGGTAAATTTTACACAAGTGAAAAATAAAGTTGATTTTTTAAATACCATTTTTGATGTATTTATACCCGGTCTCAGATCAATAGCATCTATGATAACATCATCACAAACGATGCCAATCAAAATAAGTCTTTTTCGTTTTTTCGGCAACCGACCTATCTGTCTGGCCCATACATCATCAGCTCGTCTCAATGCCTATTTTATAGATAATATATATATATATATATATGAGTGAATTGCAACTTTTTGGTACAGTTGACGCGACAAAATGAAAGTGAACCTAGACAACTATTGAATAGCGTATTTTATTGTACTCTATGTCTGTGTTAGGGGCAAAAGTGTCCCAACACTTCATTGATTATTAAGAGAAATACAGGCTGTAAGTTTAATTTCTATTTAATTCAATAATACAATTGACTTGACTCGTTGAAAAGTGCAAGCCATTTTTCAGCTCTGTATGAAGGATAGAAAGTCAGAAAAAGACTACAATACACTTAAATTTGCTTGTCGCATTCTATTCATTTAAATTATATTCGAAAAGAATATTTTTGAATGAGCTACAGTGAATATATCTGCAAAAAAAGTCACTCTACACATTTTTCTAAAAAGCGTCACTCTACATTTTTTACCATAATGTAAATTTCTCCTGAATAGAAGAAGATTAAGGGCTGATATTTTTATCACTTATAGAACTTTTTATTTTACATCTACTGTAAAAATTTGAGTCCAACCGAACCAGTCTTTAAAGAGTTATAAAGCAGCCAATTTTCAAATCGTCACTCTACAAAGTGAGTATACTGGCCTTTTTTCAGAACGTCTTGTTATTTTTATCCAGAAACGAAACCGATAACACAGAGTTTTGTCTCATCATTTTGTTACTTAAAGAGTTGTCTTTCTTTCCGTATAGTCAGCGCATCACCAGCTGTATCACTGGCAGAGCTACAATCACATTTGTGTCACTCTACACAAAAATATAAAGTGTCTGTCAAACAATGTGAACGTTGGACGAAGGGGAGAACAAAATATAAAATCTAAATCGATGATATATTTTGATAGAACATCGAACGCTGTACAACCAAAATATTCCTTTTTCTTCTCACATGTCAGCAAAAACTAACGTTTTTTTTTGACATATATCTCTCATAACTCAGCGATAGTATGAGCTACAGAGCTGAGATCTTGTATGGCAGTCGGGAATATAAAGAGAAATAATATGTTAAAAAATTGTTCAAATCGGTCGAGAGAAACAGAAGTTATTAGCCAAATACAGCTAAAACGGCAATGGTACCAAAAAGTTGCAATTCACTTATATATATCAATAAAATTGCACATAGCTATTATTTACAATCTCTTCTCGAAATGCCGATCCAATAAGTTGTGAAACACCTTCATCGATACCGTTCGTTATGAACCAAACTTCAGATGCATTCACAGTCTGAAAAAAAAAACAGTTCATATACTTTTCAGATCAAGTACAGGATGTTAAAAAACCTTTACGCCCCCCTCTAAAGCCAAAACTATAAATAATACTCACAAAGTATTTTACACCAAGTTAAAGCGCATCGAAAACTGGATTAATCGGTACTAAATAGTGAAGGTTATGAAAACTTTTTAATGCCAAACAGAAGAAATTTTACACTTTTTTGGTGTAGAAAATTGAGACACCAGTAATTCAGAAATGGAGAAATTTTTTTTCTTCAATATTTTTATATGATTCGATAGAGCTCGTCGAGCTCTACAAAGGTGTATATATTAAAAATTTTTTAAGCTATCTTTTTGAAATAAAAGGTTCAAAAAACTATTTGGAAAATCTCAAAAAACGTTTAAAAAATTCTTTTTTTACATAATGAAGAAAAATGCTCGATTTTTCAAAAACAAACTAGCTTTTTCCATTATTTTTACTACCTCAGACGTCTCGAAATATACTCATTAGACGTATTTTTTCACGCTGCATTAAAAGAGTATATTTTCAGACGTCTGAGGTAGTAAAAATAATGAAAACAGCTAGTTTTTTGAAAAATCGACCATTTTTCTTCATTATGTAAAAAAGAATTTTTTAAACGTTTTTTGAACCTTTTATTTCAAAAAGATAGCTTAAAAATTTTTTAATATATACACCTTTGTAGAGCTCGACGAGCTCTATCGAATCATATAAAAATATTGAAGAAAAAAAATTTCTCTATTTCTGAATTACTGGTGTCTCAATTTTCTACACCAAAAAAGTGTAAAATCTCTTCTGTTTGGCATTAAAAAGTTTTCATAACCTTCACTATTTAGTACCGATTAATCCAGTTTTCGATACGCTTTAACTTGGTATAAAATACTTTGTGAGTATCATTTATAGTTTTGGCTTTAGAGGGAGGCGTAATGGTTTTTTAACACCCTGTATATATAAAAGATAGCATACGTTTTTGATACCCTGCTTGAATGCTGCGATTATTTTTGGATCCTTTAATGGTTTATAATTGCTGACATCGCTAAGAACTGGTATGACAATGTTGACTGGTTGCATTTGCCACTCATTAATCATGAATCGATGAATATCGCCCAATGGAATGTTACTATCCACATAGAGAAACGGTCGAGCCTTAAAAAATACAAAAATATCCTAATTAGCTGATAAATCAGCAGAAGCTCCGATTTTTGTTCTCATTTATAATATTATAAATTAGCCTCACACCAGAACAAAGAATGGCGATCTAGTATCTGCAGATATTGAAAGAGATGCAATATCTCCTAGTGAATAAATTTAGCGCAGAGACTCACATCATTGGAATAATTACTGAGACAATCTTCGAATTTGAAAGTGCCCCAACAGGCATTAAATTGCTGTTGAATATATGCATTATAAGCCACCGGATCTGATGTGGAAAATGTACGATAGATCGCATCGTGCGATTGTGTTTCGCCGATAGGATCATCATTTGTATTTATTAAACTCTGTTGCGTCGTCGACGCAAGCATCTACAGTAAAAAGTAAAGTTGACAATCAATTAATTATTCTAAGCCTATACATCGTCAATATTCGCATTAGATCTTCCCAAATGTCAGCAACAAATAATCTAGGTAAACATTCGCTATATTCGAATTTTTTCTCTATCTATCCTTTTTTCTTCTCATTTCTGTGTTACTTGTCTGTGGCTGCCACGGTTCGTTGCATTTTTATCGATAGGAAAGACGTGGAGAGCGGATGAGAGAAAAACTGTTAAGGTTCCAATCATGAATAATATAGAGCCGTGTTAAGAAATGAATACATCATGAGATTTTCGTCAATCTGAATGCAACAAACGCTCGATAGAATTCCAGTTTCCTGAAGATTTTTAAAATATAAAATAAGCAAATATTTGATAACTGGTGTCGTTTTAGAAATTTTTCAGGAATCAATGGAATACAAATATTTGCAGCATCAGGAACTTTTTGCCACTTGAAAGAAAAAAACACAGAATTTATGTGAACGGATCGACAGAGATAAGCTGTTATTAGGTGTTCAGAATAAAACGCCCATGACAATTCTCGTACCATTGACTTTTTAAAATACTTTTAAAGCAACGAATTTGGTCTGATGGACGTATAATTGGGACAACTTTATCAATGATGGTATGGGACACTAGCAATCCTGCGAAACAGTCAAGTTCTCTAAATGAAATACACACTTCAGTTCTAAAAACTTCCTCATTTTTTTTTCTTTGTGGTTCAGAAGAAGAGTAGCAATGTGCATGTTGTTTTATGTTTCAAAATCATAAATTCTCAAGATATAAATTTTGTTATTCTTTCCTTTCTTATAGCATTCATTGCTACGAAAAGCTCTTTGATACTCTTATTCGATTAAACAAAATAACAATGTGTTTTATCGATAAGATCTCTAATTGTATGAACGAACGATGGCTAACACTTGCTTTTCTAATTCTGCATATAAGCTGATTAAATGCATCTGTAGAAAAAAAGTAATCATTTGAAAACATCTAATGTCTCCTGACTAACTATCTCAATTCTCAATGAGTACAATAAAGAGAGCTTCCATGCGATCATCGAGGATCCTGCCTGATACCGATGTACTGGTCAAATTTTCCTTTTTTGGGGGGATGTGATATACGCATCTGAATTGTTGAAGTTTGATGGAAGTAACCAAAAATGGATTATTTCGCCTAGTTTAAGATTTCACTCGATGCTGTGAAAGAACTAAAATTGCCATGAATTTTACTGTGGTTAACAATCGATGTTTTCATCCATTTATGAAGATCTTTGGCCGAAGAATAGAGACATCTTAGGACATTGAGAAAAATGTCCGAAGCTCCTGAACAAAGCAAAGACGTACTTTTTTTGCTTAGATCTTATATTGTAGAGAACGCACTTCCGGCTATTTACTTATAAAAAAAGATAGGTTCCTTTGTACAGCTTTTTCAGAAATCCTCGGTAACAATCGGGTTCAGAGTATATTTTCAAAAATCAATTTTGCTTAGAAAAATATGCGAATATATCCGCCTTCGATTACTGAAAATCGCTAATCTCTATGTTTTATTGTTGTTGAGTTATTTGAAAAATAGCTACGTGAAGTATATTTTGGCGTCTATAATAGAATATAAAAAAAATAGAATCGTGCTTTCTTAGATTTTCAAATCATAACAATACTAGCATATCCGTCGAATATGATTCTCGTTCTGTTTATCATCTATTCGACTCCATGATCGTTCATTTGTATACTGGTTGCAAGTACACCGATGATCATCAAGAAAAGCATAAGAACGATACCACCATTAATAATAATAGCGAATTTGAGAGCGAGCTTTCTTGATCGTTTCACTTGAGCTATTCTCCTTTCTTCCATAGATAGACCAGTAACGACTCCTTTTAAAAATTCCCAAATGGCTGTTCCATAAGATACAGGTTGTGGACTAAAATAATAAAGAAGATTTTGTAGTGCCAACGGTTCGTCACCGCAATGATCGAAGACAAGTGCATCGGTCGGTTTAACATGGCTTGTATTGTATATCTTCAAATATGTTTTATCAACAGCCAAAGCAAAATGTTGAACAGTACGAAAATGTATTTCTTGATCAATATTTTGAATTTCTTGGTGTACTCGTTTCAGTTCACGTTTCGCCTGTAGATACAAATACGGCTTAGATATAGTATCACTGCTTAGGCATGTCATATAACGCATCAATCGAATACGATGTAAATTTCGACGAACAATAAACCAATATGAACCGTTTTTCATTGAACCAGCAGGAAGCGATGCTTGAAATTTGTAATCATTATGATGTTCATGATTGGATGGTGTAGGTACTCTTGAATGACTAGAAGCATGTGTTGATTGTACTTCTTCGCTTTGACGATCAGCAACATCCCATGGACTGATGACCAGATGAATTTCATGGTCTTCTTTCGGGATATGTAAGGTCATATTCATAAAGAGCGCCCGTCAAAAATGGCCCATTTTTTATCTCTCCCTATTCGGCATTTCTGTTTTCAGCCCTCCTACAGTCTTTCCCAGAGTTCGGATAAAATATTTTTCACTGTATTTTCAATTACATTTATTACATAACAAAGACAAATAATATAGATAAATACGAGAAGTGTATATCATGAGACGCAGTTATGTAGCATAGGACGAACTCGTAGCATCAGTGACTTTTCGATTGTTGCCACAAAATTGTAGTCGAAAGTCTATCTTGCTCAAGTTCCTATATAGGGGTGGCTCTTTCCAGTTTCGGTTCCCAGAAACCAGGAACACATGTTTTTCTGACTTTCCGAAAACCCAGAAACATATCATGTTACATATACTGCGAAATGCTGTGATTTCTGTCTTCTCTTGAAATTATGAAGACATAAGAAGCATCAGCGAAGGCACTCCGTGCTGAGTTGTCCTTGTTTCTTATGTGTTTCCGAGTTTCTGTGTTTCCAGAAACATGGAAACACATACGAAATATATAGAAGGGAGCCCACGGATTCCTTGTCAACTCTTTCCTTGTCTTCATAGTTTCGAGGAGAACAAAAAACCACCAGATTTCTTGTTCTTCGAAATAGTGTGCGTTTAGGAGACTCCGGTAACTAGAAACACTTTGTGTTTCTGATTTCTGGAAACTAGGAACACATTGTATTCCCGGGTTCTCGAAACCCAGCAGCACATAATCAAATGTGCTACAGTTCATTAGAAATCTATTCATATAATTTTTACCTCTCAGAAATGTATAACAAGACTTTACTCATCTGTTCGTGTTTCTTGGAAACAGAAACCGAAGGGAACAGAAATATGCCACTCCTAGCCCTATCGGTATATTCTTATAATGTTTTGTTCAGTAGATCAGAATAGCACTTGACATAATTCCATGTTTTCTCCGTCTAAAATATTGTTTCTGACGTCTTGCAGATGATTGCGCATGTGCTGTAAGATAGGTGTCCAAAAAATTGTCTTGTCTTACTTGATTGTCACTTACCTTTCGTCGACATGATAATTGTTTTGGCTGATGTGAAAAAAGTAACAGAAATGTCAGAGTGATTAATTTCATTTCGAAAATTTGCGAGCGTATGCGACAAACAGTTCATCCAGAGTATGTATATACGTTTTTATCATGAAATCTTATCGGAAAAGAAGACCAATCGCAATGAATAGCCAAACAAAAATACACGCGTTTATGAAGACTTTTTTGCACGAAGTCAGAATAAATTTTATTTTTACATTCAGACTTCGATTCAATCTAGGCTCATCTCATTTATCTGATCGACCAACCCTCCACCATTTCCTCTTAAGACGAACGTTCTTTATGGAAGCGCTCTAAGACACGAGCACGAGCCGACTGAGTCATCGATTTTTCGATGAATAATGCGTTCACTACCTACTAATGACAATAGGCATCAACACAGAATAACAGTAATTTACATTATCCTTGTACCAACAAATTAAGTAAAGTTACACACATATATAGAACATGAAGTACGAGAGTAATGCGATGTAAAGTAGAAAAGATCGAAAGAAAACGACAGAAATAAGTTCTACACGCTTGCCATATCGAACAGACGTTCCTATATTTGTGATAGAGTTTTATAAACACATCATTGACAGTATTTCTGTTTGCTTTACGAAGAAGTGAAATACATCACGATACAGAGTCAAAGACAACCCTCGAAAAATGACGTTTTCAAGAAAAAAAAAAGATGTCACGCTTTTGTACCATGAAAACGGTAAACGAGATAACATGGTATAAAGACGACGTTTTTATCATGTTCATGGTAAAAAAAACTTGACATTTTTTCTGGAAAACGTCGGTTTTTTATCATGTAACTGAGCGCAATGTGTAAGGAGAGACTCGTATGGACTATTAAGATTTGCGAGATGTTTATACAAGCAGGAACAAAAGGTTTCTTCTTCAATATCTTTTATACCTCGCTGTACTGAAACGATTATGAATTCGTTTGAACCTCATCTTCGGTCACCCTAATGCATTTCTCATTTGATTTTTTCACGTGAACCATTCTATTTCATCTCGGAAACGATGACATTTGGTTTTGGTGAAAACCAAGTCCCAAAGAGATCTATCTGGAGAGCTTGGTCTCCTTGTTGGAGAGCACTCGTGAGCGAATCGCGATGGGGTTATTAAATAAAGTTAATTAATCAAGTCGTAATTAGCGGTTTTCTCGGGAATCGTTCACTCGAATCGAGTGAATGAAGAGTCCAATCAATGACGTGCCCAGAGGAAAGAAATTGGGGAATCGATCTTTCTCTCTTTGAAGAAAGACAAGTATCTGGAGAGGGATACGGTCAGAGGTTCAGAATCTGCAATCGGTTTATTGATTCCCCCACGCGAACTTTGTATTGGAAAATTTTCCTGTTTAACTGTTTATATGAAAAGCACAACTCTCCCTTTGACAATATAATCAAACCATCGTATCATTATGATATTTCTGCAAGACTGCATTTGTCTCAACTGAAAATAATAGAAATCTCAAGATTTGATTCGATGTTCATTAATTCGTAATTGCAGTCGAAAGCGTTCACAACTATTGTTGAGTTACTGTTTTATGAACACGCCTCAGACTCTGTTCTTGATCTAAGTGTCGTCAGACATTCATATTCAAAATCATCAGAAAATTGAAGCTGTTGCACATGCGCATTGCTCTGGGTTAAAGAAAAATTCATCGTTTGAATTCAGTTGTTATGTAAAGTTAGCTCACATATCCCGCAAATACCAGTTCACTGACACTAGCCTCTTCTGTTCTAGTTTCAGAAATTATGCACTAAAAGTTTGATCAGACAATACTTTTTCCACATCTGTAACTTTAGCTCAAATAAAATATGATTTCCTATTGTGAACAAGGTGAGAATTAAGTGTTTCCATCAGGAAACAATCGTGCATTTTAGAAAGCGGCGTTGAATGCTTTTATAGTTTTGTTAATAAAATATGATTAAAACACATTTTAATGAAGAGTATTTTATAAGCACCATATAATTTAGACAACATCTCTGTGCCCTTCAAAAGGATACTAAAGTCGCGTATCATTTAAGAGTTCAACCTTTATTTTGAGTACAACTTTCCGACGGAAGCCTTTCGATAAGATCGACCGTTCAATCATGTTAAACCTAAGTAACGCTCTCAAGCGAGATATTAATGGTAGTAAGAACGTATTAGAAATCAAGACAGTGACTAAATGAGGGGTAAAATAGTCAAAGTGGTCGTTGAATGAAAGACTCAAATATGCTGAAACTGTTCAAATGATTTGGTTCTGGTCATCCACCGATTGAACCATCTATTTCAGTAAAAGGCCCCAAAATTCTGCTAAAACTGAAAAATTTCCCCCACATATGGGCGCAGACGGGTAGATTCTGCACTACTGGGTATGGGTCGAACGATTTCCGTGAGTTTGAAGTAGCGCTCTTTCCAGAGTGGTAGTCCAATGTAGATGATTCAATCTTTCTCTGAACAAAATGCCTGGGCACGTTACTGTGTCCATTCGATAGAGCTCATCAAGATCTATCTGGAGAGCTAGGTCTCCTTGCTGGAGAGCACTCGCGGACGAATCGCGACACATTTTTCGGAATTTTCGAGATCTTTTTAGGAACTTTTTGCAGTAATTAAGGGTGTTCTGGGGAATGATTTACAGTCATGCAGGGTAACCCTACCCTACCCTAGGGTAGAGTTAGGATATTGGTTTAAAAAGTGTATGGTAAACAGGGTTGCCAGATCTTCTGAAATGGCAGGAAAGCTTCTGAATTTCAAAACTTTTTCTGATTTTATTCTGACCTTCTGATTTTTCTGATTTTTCAGGTTTTTTTCGATTTTTCTGGTTTTACTGTTTCGCTGCGATATTTGTCCAAATTCTATTTCTGAATGAAGACTTTTCTCAAATTGATTACGATCATAATCGTTAGCCATATGAAACATGTATGGTCTGATTATCGTAATTGCATGGACATAAAACTAGTTAGTGCTGAACTTAAGATAAGAATGAATGCTAATTATTCTTGTGAACAGTTCTAAAAACATATTTCAACTGATAAACATTTATTGCAGCAAATTCGAAAAATGAAAAATATCAATAGTATGGAACTCATATTGAATGAGTCGTTTTTTTAAATATCTCTTGATGTATATAGTGTATTTCTCGGTTTGTTTTTGCTCATTTCATGTGAAAAACGTTTTGAGTTTAGTAAAAAGTCTGATACTAGATGTCTTTTGCTAGTTTGTGTGATATTCGGTGAACTACATATTCTTATTATTATTGTTTTTTATGTTAAATATCTTCGAAAATAAATGAAGAATAGATGAACAAATTACAACTAAACCATTTTGTAATAGTTTGGTAAAATAATAAGCGCCAATTTCAACATATTAGCCTTTCTGATTATTTTCTGATTTTCGAAAACAAATTCTGAATATTTTCTGATTTTGATAGTCGGAATTTCTGATTTTTAAATTTTTGATCTGGCAACCCTGATCCACGCCTACAACCCTACTCACCAGTGTTTTATCCAGGGGTACCCAAGGGGGTGGCGCTCCCATGAAAATCGAGTTCGCTCCCCCGAGACTCGCGATCATGGCGGGACGAACTGTATGCTTGCCATCCTGGAAAAGTTTTCGCTTCCCCGATATTGCAAATCGCTCCTCCAGAGAAAAAACTTGGACAAAACACTGCTACTCACACCCACAGCCCATATTCACACCAATATCCTACACCCACAGTCCGCATTCACATAGGCATTCACGTCCTGCAACCGTTTACATCTCATACCCTAGTTGTAATAAATACTTCATGTAGTTAATAGTTTGACTTAAAATGTGAAGAGGCTCAAAAGACAACAACCTCGACCGTCAAGACACTCAAATGTCTAGGACTCTAATGTGTAGACTCAACTACTGACGCTCAAATGTTGGAGACTCAACTGTCGCGTCACTTTCTAAAAATAAATGAGAT